TACACTTTCTGCCTGTGGATGCCAGGAAATTGTAACTTACTTACATTTTCCAGGCACCCTCGAACAGGAAAATGTAAGTTACATTTTGTCAGGTCCCCCCCTGGATAATGGGCAGTGATTCCACATGTATTTCATTAGATATCATGAGTATCGGTTTTAGTGGGGATCCACGTTGGGCCACTGCGGTTTCGGTGGGTTCAAAGCAAGACTATTGAGGGACGTTCCAGTATTTTACTGCCATGTCCCTATTTGCAACGGAAATGACACGGAAACATGTTTCGTAGACGAGGATTGTCCATAATTGTTGGGAAAAAATTCCACATTCATGCGTCATGGTCTTTTGGTCACAGCTGCTGTCTCAATTTTTTGTTGAAATTATTTTTCACATGTTTTCTTCATGTTTGCATTTGTCCGGATATATTGCTCAGTGATAAACAATCTCCGATGTTGGCTCCACCGCAGCCCTGACCCCGTGAGCTGTACTGCCGTGAGTACAAAGTGGCTCCAGTAGTCTCTTTGTTCACCGTTCAGCATTTTTCAACACTTGATGGAGCACAAGTGTGCACTTGTTGCAGTCCTTTTCGTAATTTGTCTTAGTTCAGTGCCCTTAACCTACTGTTCCCAGCTTGCCCAGGGTGACTTTACTGTATGAATCTGTATGATTATAGTTTTTTGCTTGCATTTTGTAATTTGCTTCCGTTCATGTCACCAAACCCTAGATGTTGTGGGATGCGTGAACACGTGCTGGAATTTGACAAAGGCCATTCTGAATAGAACGGAGACTAGGAAAGCGACCACGAAACGATGCTGTTTGGACCACTCCCAGAAAGTTGATGTTCAATGATTCATTGGGTTGGTCAACATTCTGACCATAAGCAAGGTCACAGCAACTACCAATCCAATCCCGGAATCCCGGTCGACCCAAAATCTGTCAGAAATCAAAGTTCTTTCAACAAAAAAACTCGTCATCCATCAAGGGCCGTGCAGGTTTTCCACCACAAGCAAAAGATAAGCACAAAACAGTTGCTGTGTTGTTTGGATCCCCGCTTTGCCAACGCAACCGTGGACGACCGAGCAAGCTTTTTCAGAATGAAGCGGTTGCCGGAACAAGCGTACAAGCCATGGAAAGATGAGTTGTTCATAGTTTGGCAACTCAACAAACTACCTAAACAAGCAAAACTAAGTAGCCATTGGTTTCATGCCCCAAGCGGTACAAACACTGGCAAATTCAACCATTAGACACTCCTAGCCCAAATAATGAAAAAAAAATATATACACATGCAAACTATCTACAGAGCCAGAAAAACGTAAATACGGTGGGACGAATTTGGGGGTCCGATTGTAGCAGTCAGTAGCCGTAGGTCGAAGCCGCAGCCGAGAGAGGGTCGACCGAGACGAGCCCAGTGTGCCTCGGAGTCTTCACCTTTGGACTATTTCTTTGGCAAACTTGTGGTTCTTACTAGCTTAGCATCTACTACTTCTTGAGTTTGTGCGAAAAGTAAAATTGGGCAGGTGACATTGATCGTCAAGGGAATTATGCCTTCAACCCGAGAGGAGATACGGGCTTCATGGGCTTTCACAGAATTCCGAACCGAACAAATTCCTGTTGATGGAATAGCGTTTCAACTCTTGAATTATAATGCCACCGCTTCACTTGTAGGATCAAGAGGCTGTGATTGGGAGTGCCAAGTTATGCGTTGACACAAACATGTTTAGAATGATTGGTTTTGATTGGCGCATTTGTGCAACACCCAAAGCGAAACCTTCGCAGAACTCTCATCCTCCAGATTCACACAAACGACTCCCTCCAGGAGACTTTGAAAGGAGCCTTTCTGACACATGCACCGGTGAAGGCCAGATTGCTAGCATTCAAAATTGTAGGATGAATTGCAATTGTTGTTCAGGCAGGATGGTCAAATAATAAGTACACTCCAGCCAGTACTTTCCTGTACTTGTCCGGCGAGTCGCAGTCTTTCAACGACAAGTTGCACAAGCCTCCCTTGAATGTGTGTTTGAGACAGCGTTATACCCATTCATGGGAGAAGACAGAATCCGAAAACTTACACCAGAGTCAGGAACCCCCAACGTTTGAGTCAGGAAATCTTTTTGTCAGCGTCAGGAAACCGGGAGACCTTTCGATGATAACAACAATAACAAGAACAACCTGTAAAGAAATACAGACGAGGAGGAGTAGGAGGCGACTTTTTGTCGTAGACGAAGGACATTTCCTTGGTGATAAGAAAAGCTGCGTTGGGGGTAATTATCAGCGATGCAAACAGGAGAAGAAGGGCTTAGTTTAGCGCTGCGGTGTCACTTCTTCAGGCTTTCTTTGGCCGCCTTGAAATGTCCCTTCCCTAGGGTTTCTTTGGGATTGGGCTTCACTTCACTAGGGTTTCTTGGTATTGGTTTAGGGCTGCACTTCTTTAGGGTTTTCTTGGGCTTGGTTTAGGACTTGCTTTCTTTAGGGCTTATTTGCTTGGGCTTGCTTCAGGGCGTCCCTTCTTTGGGCTTCACTTCTTCAGGGTTTCCTAGTGCTTGGTTTAGCGCTTGACTTCTTTAAGGTTTGTTTAGACTTGGTTTAGGGCTTCACTTCCTCAGGGTTTCTTGCGGGCTGGGGTTTACTGTAGGGCTTCACTTCCTTAGGGTTTCTTTGGGCTTACCTTTGGCCTGCAGTTCTTTAGGGTTTGTTTGGGATTGGCTTTGTTTAGGGACTCACTTCTTTTAGGTTTCTTGGTTTAGGGGTGCATGTCTTTAGAATTTCTTTGGGTGTGATCTAAGGCCTCACAACATTCCTTTGCGGAGGCTTCTGTTTTCTGCACCAAGGGCACCTTGCTGTACACACGTGTTTTGAGTCAATACCCATGTCCTCCGAAAAGCACCCCCTTTGTATTTAAAAAAACATGGGGACCCATTTTACATTTTGGTCACTCCGTGTCCTGACTCAGTACCCGTCTCCTCTGACTCAATTTGGCTCATACTTGCGAAGTTTCAATCTTTCCTAAGTGCCATTGCAGCATCAACCACTCCTCCACGTGTTGGGCAGGCGTACCTCCTTGTTTCTCAGTTTGTTGTATCCGCCCCTGCCATTTGCTGGAAGTGAACACTACTGGTTTGGTTGGAGTGAGCTGCAGGTCCGGTCCCAAGTCCGGACCTCTTCACCGTGTTCTTGCACCAGCTGATCGACTACTGGTGAAGAGTGGCACGAGGGTTCAGACGTACCCGTGGCGTCTGGGGAGCACGCCAATAATTGTTCTCGAAAACAGCGGGAATTTGGCCCACCATGGTATAGCCCACATCCGGAAAAAACAATATCGGAAAGCGTGCCTCCGAAACCAACGTTGTGGTAGCACTTGGTATCGGGGACGATTTTTCACCGCCCAAGCCCTGGCACCACGCTCACGAACATGAACATAGAAGTAGCCTGTGCGGTAGGGACTCACTGGTACCAAGACAGGGAGTGGTCCGACCATCAATGGCACTACTTCCATAGTAAGAGCACTGACAGTCGTAGTGCTGGCATCTTGTTGATGATGCGTAATCCATGCTCCCTGTCAGTAACAGCAAGCAGAAGTCTGATTGCAGGCAAACTTTTTCATGCTCGCCTGCACTTGGCCTCGTGCCCCCTGGACCTGGTGCTGTGCTACCAGTACAGCACTTCCACCACTCATGAGGGCAAAGACTTGCCCGCTGGCTGGTGGACCGCACTGGATGAGCTCATGCGCGCATTGCCCTACAGAAACACTCTCTTGTGCCTAGGTGACTTTAACTGCTCACTGCCAGTCATCCCGCACCGTGTCACGGTCGATGCCTTTCGATCTGCCAGCGTTAAGCTGATAAAGGGTTCCAGACATTGGTTCGCGCACTGACCTAGGCGCCACCTTTCGCAATGGACCGAATGAATCACGCGTTGACTTTGCAAACGGTTTCGAGCCTCACTCCATCGAGGAAAGCGGAACTCACACACAGTTGCATTGGGAAGTCCTGCCATCGAAATTGTAGGAGGCATGGCGCACAACTTCTACTTGACTAGGGGCTGCACCAGCAGTAACCGGCAGAATTATAGTCAAGCATCTGGCCGACCGAGCTGATCTGCCAATTTCCATTCTCGACCATGGACCTGCGTCATGCGCTTCATCAGACCTGACACACGTTTGGTCGTGTGGCCACAGACCTGACAGCTGAAACTCAGGCAGGGTCAAGGTGCAGTGCCTGAAGGTCGCCACTCTCCAGCAAAGGGAAGATCTGAGAGGCCATATCACGAAAATCATCGAAAATCTACGTACTGTCAGCACAAATACCGCGCCTATGCCACAAGTGAACGTTCACTGACTCGTCATTCGGGAACGGAAGGCGGCGCTGCGGGCAGTGGAAACCTGGTCTCGACAGTTCTTTACGGTTGTTCACCAGCGGAGTTGGTCCCATGGGTGGCCAAACACTATAGTTCAACGTTCCAAGCAAGAATACAGCTGCGACGCTTGTGAAAAGCTCTCTGGCACAAGTGACACGGTGGTTCGAGCGGCAATATGCACAACTTGTGAATCTCCTGGAGTGTGTGTTCGACCAGTTCAAAGTGGTTGGTCCATCGAATTTGTTGCAAAGAATGCACCTGCTCTTGAGATGCTCGATGAGCTCTGCGTTCTGCTCTAGACGCCATATGAATGCACAAGCTGATTCGGATGTGGCCATAACACCACAAGTGTGCTCAGCTAAGGCCGCGCAAAGAGCTAACCAACTCTGCATCAAGAAAGGTTGAAAACGTCAATTGTTCCAGCCGCTACATTTCTCCAGCCCAAAAGGTTTCCCGCTGAGGTTTCCGACTCGCATCCGAAGGGGGTGGTCCCCCCAGATCAGTCACCTGCCCACGCTCTAGATGCCCTCCTAGGTTTCCTGACTCTGCTCTTCCTGTTTCCTGACTTTCCTGACTCGTACCTGGCTTCATGACTTTGCTCATCTTTGCTCCTGTGGTCCCGACTCGACTTTCCTGACTTTGTCATCATCCATTTGTTCATATGATTCCAAGATGACCCCGTGTACTCAAATTGTCCATGCGCGTAGTGAACCAGCTTCTGACACTTTGACAGGTTCAGTCGGTGACACTGTCCATCTGACTTGGAGCACAGCCCGGCCCACTGGCATAGGTGTCAAACCCTTCAACATCAAGCGCTGCCCTCCTCTACACTTTACACAACTTTGCCTTTACCCTTCGTGGGTGCTCGTACACAGCCAACAAGATGTCAACACGTTCGCTTCAATTTTTCCGAGTGCACTTTCACAATCACCAAGCAGTCCTGATATGTCCTGACTCTCCTCTCAGTGTCGCCAGGACATTCGCCACTTCTCACGTCGAGGCTTTGCATTTGTGCAATTCCACTCCGTGGAGGCTGGGCCGCATGGCATTGACTGCCAAGTGGTGAAGATATGCAACCGTTGCGTGAAGGTGGTTAAGGCCTAAAGCGGTGAAGGCTTAATTTTGTTTAAAGGCAAATCTCCTATTCTCTTAATTAATGGTGAAGTGTCAGGATGCGGTGCGAGCCCTCAATGGATTCGAGAAGCAAAACCATAGTGATGCCAGCGAGATTGCGGTTCTTTCAATGCATCATGTCGGCTGTCATTTGCCTACAGTACCTACTACATATACCTACATTATCCTACATCATACAACAAATATACAGTATACATCAGTATACAAATATTGCATTTTGGGACTAGGAGTCCAGGAGAGTTTACAAAGCCTTGCATCAATTATTTTGTGATACTGCAGTTTGCTCACCTGACAGCGCAAAAAACCTTGTGTATAGGCCGGCTGGACGGTGTCAGGGTACAAGCAAACTTTGCCAAAGAGCGGGAGGAGGGATTCGAGGGATCAAGTCGTTCAATCCGCTTCGAGCAGCTCTACTGCAACATGTCTTGCTCTGTGCGATGTAAACTTGGTGAGTTTTTGGAAATCGTATGCTGAAGCCAAAGGTGTGACTTTGGTGAAGTCGCAGGAACCGTTTCGCGAAGGGCGGGCCCTCTTCGTAGCAGAGCGCAGCTTTCTTCAGAAGCAGGTCGTGTGATTTGCTGTCCAAGGTAATGCTGATTCTGGTTGCACTAGTTTCTGTTTACCTGACTGTGATTTCCGTGTGTCTCTTGAGCAGAGTGCTGGATCTTGCTCGACTCAACACCCAAGACTACTTATAACTTATAGGCTCTAGTCTAAAGCAAGTATTGTGATCTTGTGATCCTTTCAAGACATAACTTGGGATGCGCGGTTTTGTTATTGTCAGGCGATTGCGGCTGCGGAGGCTGCAGAGGCTACCTATATACTTATGTTATACTTATGTGTTCTCCTCCTATTACTCATTGATTCTCAGTTGTATTGCAGGATGATTTGGGATTTTGCATGCAATAGGACACTTACATAGCTTGATTTGCACTGTTCGGCCTGCTCCCTTTCGGTTTCAGCTGAACCCGACAATGCAGATATAAGCCTGCTTTCAACCTTGACTTAGCTTGACTGTGTCTCCGAATGGAGTGGAGTTGAATCTTCGTGGAAGACATGAGCAAGTAAAACTGGCTGGCCATTCAATTAGAGAGCACGGAGATGCAAGCAGCCAGTGAGATTATATTTGTCAATCGCTCTCTATACTATGGGATATGTGATATGTAGTAAGATGTTGACGCAGAAGTGAAAGAATGCTTCAGGGTGCTTACGGCTGGTCGAATGAGATTGGCATGACATATACACAACTGCATTCCTACTACAACTGAGAAGCCCACACTTGCAAATGCCCTCGGTGGCATGCATGCAGCATCAAGTTGAAACGGCCAAGCATCACGCGCTTCAGCTTGATCCTTGCCTGATTCTCTGGACAGAGATGTCAATGTTGACAATATGATGTCAGATGTGGCAGAGGCAGAGAAAGTTGAGGCATGTTGAGGCACTCTTACTTTGTATTGCTGCTGTTTTGCGCCAGTGATAAGTGGCTTTGCTGTGGGGTATATTTATAAACCGTATAAATATGTACAAGATTGTGCGAAAACAAGCTAACTGCGGCGTTCTAGTACATCACACTCTCAATACAATTCAATACACATTTGTTCCAGAAGAAATCCCTCAGCTAGAAACGTCCCCAAGAAGAACTGAGCTTTGAGTGAGGTTGCACACTTCATGTATAGTTGATGAGAAGAGTCTAGGAGCACTTATCCAAGACTGGAATTGTCATGTAAAGACTTGCATCATCTGAAATCGGCTTTGCCGTGTGTACTGTGTCACTGGACGCCAACCCGTTTGGCTCAAGACCTTGAAAAAGGCTGTGGCGCGACCGGACACGTTCGATCGCGATTGAGTCGGCCTACTACGTGATAGACCAAGGCTTTAGCTTTCAACTGGTTATCAGCCGCAAGAGCTACAAGGAGACCAGTGGTTGAAAAACGAGACCATACACAAGGATCGAGACAAGCTTGTCAAACGAAACTCTGGCATTGTGTTGAAACTTCTTTCGAACACTTGTTGCCTCGCGCTTTCGGGCGCGATCCATGCCACCGCGAGAAAGGTCGCGGCGACGTCGTGGTCCACGGGGCGGTGACCCCAATAGACCAAGCCAACAATCCCGTCGGGAGCGCGGACTCCCCACGGAAGACAGAGCTAGAGAAGAAGACAGGGACGCTCGACATCGTGGTCGTTGGGTTGAGCGTGGGCGTGATCGCGAGCGTGAGTACGCTCGCGAGAATAGAGATAGACGGGCTGCCCGTGAGGAGCAGCCGAGGCGGGAGGTGTATCGGGCTCGGAGCCCGAGACAACCGAGGTTCCCACCTCCTGGGTTTGTTGAGACTTGGGAGGTAAGGCGTCCGCCGAGGCCGGCGTCAGAGACAGAAGAAGAGTCGCCTCCTGAAGATCCACGGTCCAGTCGGGTTGAGAGGTCGCGTACTCCTACAGAGAGAACCGAGAGATCCCGTTCGAGGCCGCAGCAGCGTGGTTAGTTGGAAGAAGTGTTGGGTTTGGGTGCCTGAGGGCGATTGAGCCCTGTGCGGGACGATAGCAGGGATCGCGACGAAGACTCGCGAGAAGACGAAATCCCTGAAGAAGAGGTGGAGCTTGAAGGTGAGAGCGTTGATACAGTGACAGGTGAGCCCCGTGAACATCGTCGCGCAGCAGTTGTTGACATTGCTCCTGAGGTTCCTGGAGGTTCGCCCGAAGTGGCATCAGGTGTTGACTTTTCGGCGACCGAGGATTCGATCGCGAGGCAAGCCACCGAGGAGGCTACTGAGCATTCTGTGTCCGCTGAACCGGAGAGCATCCGAGAGAAGGCCCGAGAGCTTCGATCTAGGTCGGCCCGACCTACGACCAGCAAACCGTCGCCATCCGTCAGTGAAGAGCCGGTCGAGGAGAGACCACCTGTTGAGAAGAGGGTCAAACCACCGCCTCAGGCTACGTCAGCCAAGGCGAAAACAAGGAAGGAACCGAGCGAGACTGGTGACGTTGAGCGTGAGGAGTCGGCATTGCGTCGTGCCATTGGTCGTGATTCATCGCGCCAGCGCGAGGGTGAGGGCTCCTCCAGATCCGGTTTGTGCCATTGAGGAGCTTCCGGTTCCACCTCCTGTTCCGACCAAGGAGGAGATCGAGCAGGCAGAGGCTGCAAGGCAACGTGAACTAAAGAGCCTACCGCCTCCGCCGCCGGTGCCTCGCCAGCCACCAGTTCCCGCGACCACCAGAGCTGCATCGAAGCCGCGGTTGACGGAGGAGATTCAGCCTGTTGTGCTTGCTCCACGGCCGAAGGAAAGGCCTCAGCCCGTTGCTACAGTTGAACCATCGACTTCAGCACGGCCGGCAGAGCCTGCACGTCCTCCATCGAGCGTGTGGCAGGACAAGCCGTTGATCTTGTTCGATTGGCACAAGACGCTGAGCTTCCCTCACCAGCCGGTTCACGAGAGTGCCATTCAGCTACTTCGTCGTCTTCAGTCGGAGGGCTACGCATTGGGCGTGTTGAGCTTTGCTCCGGCGAGGGAGACGCAAGAGTTGGTGTTGTCGGGCGTTGAGGGAGTCAACGCTAGGCTGGATCGGCCGTTCGACGTCGTTGCAATCACCCGCACAAAGTTCATCAAAGACCACATTCAGAGTCCTTCCATCACTGGCCACAGCGGCCCCAAGGCCCAGCTCGTTACGGAACTTGGTGCGCTGGTGTTCGTGGACGATCAGGCCGCGTTGTTGTCAGACGTCCGAAGCTGGCAACACAACTTGCCTCAAGGGGGAAGGACGCATTTGGTCCGATCGGGGGTCACCCCGGTGGAGGCATTGGTCCCGCTCGAACGAGTGCTGCGGGAGTTTCCGAGGGCCGGAGAGCTGCCGAGCGCAAGGGAGCTCGGGAGGATCCTGAGCCGGTATGCAAGAGAAGAACTGGCCAGTGCTGCCCAAGCGCATTTTGCATTGAGTTGAACAGACATTGGTTGGTCGGTTGTTGCAACGTTGGCAATAAATCTGGCGGCCGGAAGCCAGTTGCATTGTGGGACATTGTACAATTGATCGGTTGAACACTGCATCGTTGGTCAATAAATCTGTCGGCTGGAGGCCAAGTGGCGGGTTGAGACTGTCGTTGCATCAGTGAAACGTTGTGCATTGAGTGAACATTGATCGAGTCGAGGACATCTCATTGGTCGGTGGTTTAACATTGTCATTGTCGTTGGCCAGAGCTGTGCTACCTTCGCGTCTGATTCGCGTATTTACGCGGTCGACGCGACTCGTTGTTCGCGTTCCGCGACTCACTGCCCGAAAGTCGCAGCTTTTAGCGCGTGGCAATAAACTCCGCGACAAATGTCGCGTGCCAGCAGTGAAAAGAGGAGGTGGTGCTGCTCAGTGTGTCGAGACAGCGTTTGTTGTTGGTTTGAGCGTTGTGAACAAACTATCTATAGTTAGTTGAGAGTCCTTCAACAGAGTAGGGTCGAGTTGAGCTGTATTGTATTGAGTTGTTCACTTGCGTTGAGAGTCATTGCATTGCACCGGATAGTCAATGTCAAAACGGTCGCTTCCAGCAACACCCTTTCGTGTCATCGGTCCTGAAGGCTCCTACGAAACCTCGAGTTCATCCATTTCTCCGGAGACTGGGCTTGCGAGGATGGAGGGTGATTTGGGAACTGGTGGAGGAACCGGGCTCCAAGTGAGCGTGCCGGTCAAGGGAAACACAAAAGTTGCAGTGAGTCGCATGCGGACTCAGAGCTCTGAACCTTCCCAACCTTCTGGGGTACAAGGTGATTCATCGACTGTTCCTGGGGTGCATGTTTATGATCAGAGAACCCTCAACCACCTACAAGTTCTCAACCAGCACAACATCGATCCAGAGACACTTGAAAGAATTGTTCA